TACAAAGAAGGTTTACGAAGAGAATGGAATGAAAATATCTTTCCACAAGTTCCTAGAGAGACCCATTACAGATATTACACCCATCTGGCTTTGCGGTCGTATGTATTCCTCATGAATCGATGAGCTTTTCTCCGATTGGCCTAACGTTCAGATAAATTTCCTGTCAGGGTTAAAAGGGTCGTTTGAAACCCTCTTATCGCCCTTTCTTCAAAGAAGGTGTGGCAATAGAACCAATCTAAACTAACTCAAGGCAATGCGAGATTTCTCTCACGATTTTCACAATGCATCTATCTATTATGCAAAATCTCAGTTAATATTCTGGGCCGGGTTGTTCAAAGCTAGGTTAAGATAACCCAGGGTTAGTGTGAAATCTGATTTCAGATCTGATGGCTTTAGAGAAAATTCAGTCGGATTCTTTTTGTCAAGAATATGATTATTTGATGCTCTATAAAGAACACCGGAAACTATCCCAAAAAGGCATTTGAATAAAGGAATAAAGAAATTCAGATCAAAATTTAACCTTGGGTTAGCGCTAATCAACCTTCGAACAACTGGGCCCTGATTTTTAACTTGAATTAAGGCTCAAATTAAATGTCATCGTTTCCTTTTTTGTGTATATGTGTATGTGTATGCAGTTTACACCTCTGATTTAAACAAACTTGTTCAAGAACTATAATGAAAATTCCTTCCTCTCATACATAGATAGGAAAGCTTTTATTAAGAGAGTGGATCAACCTGCGGGTTAAATTAATTTACTGCCCGTCGGTAATCTAAACATAATGAAAGAACGCAAATGTATCAAATGCGTGTATTTGTGTTTTCTAAATCAGGTTCAATTGACAATCATTTCCTTTTTCATCGAACTTTGAAAAGAAGGAGTATTTTAGTTTTCTTTAGCAGGTTTGTGTCTTGTTTATACTTAGTTTAAACTTTTGAATAATTCTTTCTAATCATTTTCATTTGGACTACGATGGCAATTAGCGCTGGAGAAGTCTCTCACGCAGTTTT